CTTCCTGTTTAGAAGGATGGCCCAGGAGGCGCTCTCCCACCATGCCCGGACTGGTCTGTGGGGAGCTGGCCCTGTTGTGTCCAGAGCTGACTTCCGGCCAGTGTGGCGGAGAGAGGTGGGTGGTGGCGTGACTCTGGCCGCTGCTGTCTTCTCCTCTTGCTTTGGCCCTGAGCCCAGGCGGTCCCAGCTGCTGTGCTGCCCAGCTGAGTGGTTAGAGCTGTCAGCTCCGTCACGGGGTCACTGCAGGCAGATCTCATGTCTGGGGGACGCCTGCCTGGTAGGGTGGCAGGCTTAGTGACCTGGTGGGTTTGGGCTGGGCTCAGAGCGCTCACTTGCCTCTGTCCCCAGGGGCGTGGCTGCCACATTTCGTCCCAGCCTTGTCCCCACACCTGCCTGGCCTCTGTCCTGTGGCTCCCCGGCTCTTCTGCCCCCAGCACTGGTCTTGGATTGTGGGTGCTGTGCCCCTAGGGAAGCGTGAGCCAGTGGGTGGGCCCTCATGGAGGCTGCACAGTGTCACCCGGCCCTGTAGGGCACTGCTCCCCGCAGAGAGCCGAGAGGAGCTGACCCCGTCCTGGCCCTTGAGGCCTGCCTAACACTTGCCTTGTGGCTTGAGGCCCCGAACGAGGTCCCACAGCTCTCAGCTCTGCACCCCCAGGAGTGGCAGCCTCTGTCCCTCAGACACTGTCCACCAAGGCCGCTGCCCCTTAGGTGGCCAGTGTGTTTACAAGGCTGCCACCTGTAGCTCTGTGAGAGGGGGCACAGTTTGTCCAAAAGCCTCTGTCCTGGCCCTGTCCCAACCCTCTCCTCTGCAATGTGGCTTTGGAGCTGTGTGCCGGTGGAGCCAGCATGGGCCTGTCCTATCCTGGCCTTTGTCTGTCCTGTAGACCTATGTGTGTGTGTGGTGCCCCCACCTTCTATCTCAGCTATTTCCGCATTCACTGGAGCACAGGAAGCCCCACCCTGGTTGCCATGGTTTCCACATAGCTGTAGTTTAAAATCTAACTATGACATTTTCCAGGCAGAGTTACAAGCGCTGGCCATACTCCCAGTGGGCCGTGGAAAGGGTGGACAGAGGTCAGCACCCTGCTGCTGCCCAGGTGCGTCCCAGGTGCTTGGCAGGAGCTCTGGGAGCTGTGCCATGGGCCCTGCCAGGGCCACTTGTGCCACACACTGCTTCCTCTCTATGGGGAGCAGAGGCATTGGGCGGGGCCATGTTCTGACAAAGGACACAAAGCATTGGCATAAAATGAACAGAATTTATGCTCTCACTGAGGCCTGGAATCCAGGGCTTAGCTCGGCCTGCCCCTTCGAGGGCAGACAGGAGGAGTCCTCCTGCTTCCCAGCTGCTAGGGCTTCTGGCCCTCCCTGGTGTCGCCTGGCTCGTGGCTGTATCTGCCCAGTCTCTGCCCCTGGGGTCACATGGCCATCATCGGAACTTCCTGTTCTCACGAAGTCCAGGCCCGTCTTCACAGAATCTGGTTCCAGTAAGAGCGCATTCATAGGCACCGGCAGTTAGGACTGAACTTACCCTTGGGGGACCTAGTTCAGCCTGGGTTGTGAGTGCTGTGGCGTTCTGGCCGGGGTCTGTGCTCTAGGGTGCCACATTCTTCCTCAGAGGCCCCCCCAGGGTTGCAGCTGCAGGTTCCCCTGGGATGCGTCCTGGGATACGTGCTGGCCGTCTGCGTGCGACCAGGCGGCCGCTGAAGAGCAAGCAGAAGATGTGGGTCTCAAGCTATGTGCCTCATTTAAAATCTGGCTCTCACAGAGGCCTGCCCTCCAGGGCAGCCGAGGCCTCCCGCTCTCCTTGTCCTCTTTTTCCAGTTTGCTTTTATTCACCCAGCATAACATCTCTGGAGCCCTCTGCCTTGCTGTAGGCCAAGCAGTGTTCCGCGTGTAGATTCTCTGCCCCTTGGTGGTGGGCACTGCTGAGCGGGCAGCCTCCACAACCCGGGCAGCATGGCATCGTGACTGGCTTTATGTGATGTACGCTGTGTGGCCTCCCGGAGGACATCTTCCTCTTACAGGTGGTGTGTCAGGGCCAGGCACAATCACCTGTGCCCCTGGGTCACGTCAGTTTCGCTGTCCTGTATGGTGATGGTCCCTTTTTTTTTTCTTTTTGGTACCAGGGATTGAACTTTCAACCTCACCCTTGTTGGGCAGGCCCTTACGCCGCTGAGCTAAATCCACAGCCCAGATGGTTCCTTTCTTCAGCTGTCACTGGGCAAGGGCAGCACGGAGCCCTGCAGGGCAGCAGGGACTAGGGAGGAAAGTTGCAGAGCCCCAAGGCTCTGGGGTCCCCTGATCCACAGATAAAGGCCCTGGAGCACCTGAGCCATGTTCCCAGGTCCCAGTTTAGGACCAGTCTCCTTTGGAGCAGCTAGGGGAGCAGTGAGTTTAGGACCCAGGCTGACAGCGGAAGGTGAGGGGTCACCCCAACACCTACCTGAGCATGTGATTTCTCCACCTGCTTGTCTCCCCTGGCGCCTCCTTCCAGGAAGGGATTAAACTCCAGCCCCAGCCCCAAGGTCTTGTGTGACAACTGGGGTCTCTGTCCTGCAGCCTGTCCCATCCTTGCTCCCGAGTGGCACTGGTCCTCCTCGCAGTGTCCCTTCTGCTTGGAGTGACAGTTTGTGCCGTCTCCCTGGCTCCCAGCTCACCCCGTAGGATCTGCCAAGATGACATTTCCTCTTGGAAGTTTCCTGGAGTCTGGGGGAGGCTGCTGTGCTGTTCCTGAGGGTTCTTGTCACCAGCCTGCTGCCACACAAGAGGGGATGGCGCTGAGGTGTCCCTGTGTGTGAGCCTCAGGCCCAGTCTGGCCGGTTGTTCAGGGTTGACTGGACAGATGTGGGCTGGGGTGGGAGCACCTGGGACAGGAGGGTGCCGCGTGAGGGAGTCAGCACCCGTTTCTGTGGCCGCCTGGTGAGCTGAGATGGCTGGGCAGCAGAGGCCACCCTGGGCTGACACAGGATGGGCACAGTAGGGAGAGGAAACTGGGTCAGGCTTGGCTCCAACTTCAGCCCTGGACCTGGTCAGTGCTGGGCTGCTGCCTGGCTGGCCTGCGAGGTGACAGACCTGTCACTCGGGTGCCACCCTTCCAGTACTGGGAGATTTCATGTTGAACTTGGGGCTACAGCTGCTCTTGACCACCTGGGAGTTTGACATCCTGGCTCCTCTTCCTGGCCACCCCTACCTTGTCACCTTTCTGCACCGCGTGCTCTGCCAGGGCTTCTCTTTTTCTTTGTGATTAGTAAAGAGGAAGAGGAAACGCTGCTTGCACACACAACATTATTAAAACCGGGGAAGCAAAGGCTCAGGTGGGGGCCCACACTCTCCTGGGTCCCTTCTTGCTCCCACACCTGCCTATCCAGAGATAGGGTGTGGGGAGGTGGGAAGGGTGCCTAGGAGCGCAGACTCTGACTGGCCGCTGAGCAGAAAGGAGCGTGAGCGGGGCTTTGGCTGTGTGGCTGGAGGGCAGCAGAGTCCTACTAAGGACTGAGTCCCCGTTCGGCTAAGCTGAGGCCGTGTTCCCGGGTGGCCAGTTGGCCTGGGGAATCAGGATGGTCCTCCATGGAGAGCCACAGGGGAGGGGTGAGCAGCCTGGGTTCCCTGAGCGGACTCCGTGGCTTCAGTTCCAAGCACCAGGGTCCCCGGGGGAGGCCACGGGACACTGGCAGTGTGTATTTCCGGGATCTGCCTGATACCAGGCCCAGAAGCCACCTGAGTGGGCCCTGGTTCCTGTGGCCACACTGTAGTCACTTGGCTGCATGATGCAAGGGCAGGCAAAAGCACCCGGGGTGACTTTGGGTGTGGGCACAGACACAGACAGCTGTGGGTCGCGTGAGGACGTCAGTGCCACTTGCTGTTGGAGGTGTCCCCTGGCTCTTTCTTGGAGCTTCTGACCAGATTGGCCCCGGGACTGCAGTAGGGCTCACAGGACCAGGAGCATTTGCAGGCTGCTGCTCCTCCCTTTCCTCTGGGTCGCTCACTTCCAGGCATGGAGGCACAGGCAAGGCGCAGCTGGGTGATCGCCACTGCACTGCACAGGCCAGGAACTAAGGAAGGAGTTTTAGCTGGTTGCCCTGGGAACCAGCCAGCAGGAGCTAAGCCAGGCCAGGCCTTGCTGAGAGCCCCACCTGCTGGGCCTCCTGGCCACTGAAGGAAAGGGGTTGCCAGGCTTGGGGATGCTGGTCTAGGATTCACATGGCCAGCGGTGGAGCAGGCAGGGCTGGACTCAAGCCAAATGCTCCCTACTGACCACCTGTGACCAGCCCACGAGGGTGGTGATCAGGAAAGGTGCCAGGCTCATGGGCTGCTGCGGGAGAGTGCCAGGCTGGTTGGGATGCCAGGGAGTTCAGGGAGCATTGCACACTGCTGGCATCCACAGTGGGACCAAGTCTCTTCCCTGAGGAGGTGCGATGGCACTGCTGCTCCTCCTGGCATCCCAGCCTGGGTCTGGGCTGCCTCCGACGCCTTAAGGGTTCTCCACGCTGTGGGCAGGTGAGAGCCAGCTGTCCCCTGGTGACTTGAAGCTGTGACTGTGTCCAGTTCTCAGAAGAGCTGTGGCCACCCAGTCCCCCAAGACACCCACCAGGGCACAGTGGCCCTGGGATCGGTATTGGCGCCAGCATCACAGTCTGTGTCTCATGTCTCACATTCTTGCTGGTGAGCCCGTCATGTGGGGGAGCCTGACGTGCGTTGTCAGGGATCTGTGGCTTTGCTGCAGGCCTTTGCAGGCTGGGGCAGGCAGGCTGCCAGGAGGAGGAAGTGTCCAGCCCCCTCTGTCCTACCCATGGGCCAAGGGCCTCAAAGCCCGTTGTGGCCTGTCAGGGCAGTGCTTGGTCCTGGCATGTGACCACCTCAGGAGGTCCCAGACATGGGGTGCTTTCCCTCCTCTGGGATCCATGGGTCCCTTCGGGGCCCTTCCCATCCCCAGGGTCGCTGGGCACGGGAGCTGCCCTCTCCCAGAGGCCTCATCTCGGTTCTCCTCCCACCCACCCTAGGATCATGCGGCCGGATGACGCTAATGTGGCGGGCAATGTCCACGGCGGGACCATCCTGAAGATGATCGAGGAGGCTGGGGCCATCATTAGCACCCGGCACTGCAACAGCCAGAACGGGGTGAGTGTTGGCCCCAGGAGGGCCCGAGTCTTGCCGTCCCTGCCCGACAGGCCTGGGCTTTTCCAGGCTCTGGCCTAAGGACCCCTGGCTGGGGCTTGGTGATGAGGGTAGGAGACCAAGCTACCTGCATCTTCTAGGGCCTGGGTCTCACCTCCTATCATCCCCGCCTCCACCCCGACTCTGGTGGCAGCCAGGGGCAAGTGCTGTGGCTCTGTTCCTGCTTCTTCCCGATCCCAAAGTCCAGCAGTGTCACACACCACAGGGGCAGCTCTTGGCCTAGCCGGGCCTGTGCAGTGCGAAGTGGCCCTGCAGCCTGTCACCCTCCAGCCCAGCAGGACTGGCTGCTTCCCCTGCAGACTGGGCAGCGTGCGAGCAACAGGACGAGGTCTTGCAGGGGCAGCTGCGTCACAGGGGCCGGTGCCATGGGGGCTTGGCCAGCGACCTGCTGTGCCACCCTGGGCCCACTGGGTCAGAGGCTGGGGTCTTGGGGAGGCCCTGTTAACCGTGCCGGGCCCTGCGGCTTGGAGGCGGTGAGACGGCTGCACCTGCCCTGGTGTCAGCGTGGGTGCTGTCGTGGCTGTGGCCTGTGGCTGCATGGTGCTGTGCAGGTTTGTGGGAGCCTTGAGTGGCCAAAGTCTAGCGGCTCCAATTTTTTATTTTTATTTTTTAACAGAATGTGGGTCTCTGTGCCACCTATAGGTAATTTTTTTGTCTTTTATTTTTTTAAGGCACAGTCTTGCCATGCAGTTCAGGCTGGCCTTGGGCTCACTTTGTATCCCTGGTTGGTCTCAAACTTGCAGTGATCCTCCTGCCTCAGCCTTCCAAATGCTGGGATCATAGGTGTGCGCCACCACGCCTGGCTGGCAATTTTTGTAATGTCTTCAAGTTCTTAGCTGGTGTGGCAGTGCGTGCCTGTAGGCCCTCCGGGAGGCCACAGGAGGAAAACTGCAAGCTCACGCCGGGTGTGGGGGACTGAGCCCGTAGTAGAGCTGAGTCACGGGCTGTCTCTAAGCTGTTTTCCCAGAAGTCTGTAGATGTAGCTCAGTGGGAAAACTGGGTTCAGCTCCTAGGACAGTTGCACCTCAAGTCCATGAACTTAATTCTTTTCACGATTCTGGTTGCAGAATTCATTCTATGATGTGTAAAAAATTATTTTCATGAATTGAGGTACCACAGTACCGCAAAAACAACCACACACACACACACACACACACCCCAAAACCCACCTGTTCCACTATTATAATAATGACTACTTTGGTGTCATATGATGGTTTCGGTTTTGGTGTGGGATGCTGGGTTTTGGTTTGCTGTTTTGGGGTTTTTTTGGCAGTGCTGGGAATGGAGCTCTGGTCCTATGCATGCTGGGTAACTGCTGTACCCCGAGCTATACCCCCAGCCCTGAGCAGTGTTTTTGATGTTACCATGGTAATGATTTTGGGGGCCTGTGAACTGTGCCCATTTAAGTCAGTGAACTTCCCCTGTAAGTGGGGTACGCACTGACTGCTTCTGGCCATACCCCATCTTCTACCCCCTCCCTCTGTTCCCTGAGAGACCAGTATTAAAATCATATACTAGGGGCTGGGGATTTAGCTCAGTGGCCTAGGAGCCTGCCTGGCAAGTGCAAGGTCGTGAGTTCAATTCCCTGTACCAAAAAAAAATCAAGATACTTAATAACTCTGTAATGTCCTCTAAGTGTCCGGTTGAAAGGAGGAGGCCCAGGTCCTTCCCTTGAAGTCAGAAGCTGGAAATAATTAAGCTTAGGGAGGAAGACAGGTGTGAAGCTGAGACAAGCCACGTTAGGAGTCAGAGAAAGAGTCCTGTGAACCCCGGAACCCTGGAGTGTTGCTTCAGGGAACACACGAGTGACAGAAAGCCAAATAGCCTCTTGCTGATTTGGAAAGTGTTTACTTTCTTTTCTTCTATATTTATATTTTGGGGAAAAGGTCTTACTATATAATCCAGTCTGGCCTTAAACTCACTGCGATCCTCCTGCCTCAGCCCCCTGAGTGCTGGTGATACAGGGAATAACACTCCCAACCTACTATATCCGGTATGAGTTCGTGTAAAGTTAACTTGGGGACAAATGGGGAAGCGAGTCACGTAGAAAGTGGGCATGCTTAAGGCACAGTGACTGTTTCTTAGGGGCTCTGGATGGTGACTCCAGGCTTCCTCAGGGTGCTGGGGAACTATTTAGAATTTGCGTTCTTTTTTTTTTGTCTTTTTCATTTTTATCGGTATCGGGGATCGAACTCACGACTGCCTGCTTGCAAGGCAGGCGCTTATGCCGCTGAGCTAAATTCCCCAGCCCCAGAATATACATTCTTAGGATGTAGGTGCATTTGTTTGATCTTTTCTCTTGAGACCCAGCCCACAGCAGGAGGTATCTGTCTCCTGGACAGTTGCAAGGTATCTGGGCTTCTGCACTGGCTCCTTTGAGGGCCCAGCCCTGTCTCACTGCCTACAGTACTTCTAACTAACTTAGCTGCCTGTGACACTAGCGTTAGAGGTGTGGTCACCACACTCAACTCACTGTGACTTCTGTTAGAGGCTCATGTAGCTGATGACCTTTGGTGGAAGTCCCTGCTCATAGACCTTTCTGGAAATCCTGGGTCCTGCAGGATTATGCCAACCCTGCTCTGCATGGGCTCTGCTAGTGGATGGCACATGTACTGACAGCGTGGGGTGCTGTGTGAGGTCTACAGTTAAAAACTGCAACTCAGAGAAAAAGACCGCTTACAAAGTCTGAGCGTGGTGGCATATGTCTGTAGTCCAGTCTCCTCAAGCGGCTGAGGCAGGAGGATCCCTGGAGTTTATAATTTTGACAACATAGTAAGTTCCTGTCTCAAAAACATGTGTTTCTTTTCTTTCCAAACGGCTGCTGTTGTGGTTCAGGTATAAAATGGCCTCTAAAGCCACATGTGTTTGCAGGGTGGTTGAACTTTGGGGTGCTGTAGGCTCCTTGCTGTTGGGAGATAGGGTCAGGTGGGCAGGCAGGTCACTGGGGCGTGGCCTGGAAAGGTCCAGCTCCTCCCTTCTCTCTCAGCCTCTGCTGCCCCTCTGCAGACTGGGAGCCAGGGACTGGAGAGGATCCACCATGGTAGGATCCATAAGAACGTCCCTGACTTGTGGAGGTCTGGCGACAGCAGTTGGGAAAAGTTGACCAACACGGACATGGCGAAAACAGCAGGAGAACGAGAGTGAGGAGAGACCCTTGAAGAGTTCTCCTTGGAACAAGTGAGGCAGGTGGACCCCGCTCCTGGGAAGGTGCCGCACTGTTGGACCACAGTGGAGGGTTGGGGTGTCACAGGGTTGGCAAAGCAGCTTCGGCAGGCACCGAGGAGGATGCTTCCAGCTTCAGAGGCGTTCACTTGCTGTGGGCGAGATGCCTCCAGGCTGCTTTGTACTTCAGAGAAATTTGTTCCTGAAGAAGGAGTCAGGCTGAGATTTCCTTGGTGTCTGACATTAAGGAATCACTGTACGCTGGGCATTGCGGCACACGTCTGTGATCCTGGCACTCTGGAGGTTGAGGCAGGAGGCTTACTGAAAGTTCACGATCAGCCTGGAGCTACATAGTGAGATTGAGACCAGCCTGCCCTACATAGCCAGAGAAAGAAGAAGGAAAAGAAGTTGCCACCAGCCTGCCAGCCTTCGGGAGCTGCCCCACCAGACCGTCCATGGCGAAAAGACTGTGTGGCTCGCTGAAGGCTCCGATGATCCCTAGCAGATTTTAGCAGTAGTTTTTTCTTTTAATAAAGCACTTGTAATTAGTTTTAGACATTTATTTTTAGACACCATGCTGTTGCGCACGTAGTAGGCTGTGACACATGGCGCATGTAACTGGTGTGTGCTCTGGGAGCCAGGCAGCGCGGGGCTTTATTGCCATGCTCGCTTCATTTCAGTGGCCTGGGGCTGGATGCGGGGAGCTTCTGAACAGCCTAAGGACTGTCCTAGAGGCTGGTGAGCCCAGCAGCCTGGTCCCATAGCTCCCTTCTTACTGGGTGGCATCTTGTCACCCAGTCCTTGCAGGCTGGAGGTGACAGGATATCCCCTGGGGACTTTGTAAGAATGATGGCCTCATCCATGGGGTCTGCACTTCACGATTAAATCACCTCCCAGAGGCCTTATTTCCTCATTTCATACGTTGGGGGTTAGGGTGTCATCACAGGAGTTTGGGGGACCCAAGCATTCAGCGCATGGCATATGTGCCAGTGCCAGTTGTCCCCCCGGAGTAGAAGGCTGTGCATGGAAACTGAGCCACACCGGACACTGGGTGGTGGGCAGGGCTGGTCACTGGGACCTCTGAGTGCGTGCAGTGGAGGGGTCTGGGTGCCTGCCTGCCTGGCTGTGGTTGTTGGGGTTTGGACTCTCTTGTAACCTGGCGCATCGGAGAGCGCCCTCTGGTGGCTGTGGGGAGGACAGGCCTAAACCCATAGGTTGGAAGTCTGGTAGGTGCTTTGGGAGATGGACGGTGCCTGTCCCAAGTAGGCCTGGCCAGAAAGGATGTTACACTGTATTGTGTAATTCTCAAGACACCGAGAGGTGTTGTGCACTGCTGTTCCCACTGTCCTACCACACAGAGGGGAAACTGAGCCATGGGAGGGGCGAGGCCCCCTAAAGATGCAGGTGGGAGGCCTGGGCCAGAAGACTCCTGCTCAGGCCCCACTGCTCTCCCCCACCCCGTTCTGACTGGCTGGAGGGGCATCTGACTGGCAACTAGAGGTCCCAGCTCAAAAGGGTCTGTGTGCAGCTTGGGGTGACTAGATGCTGACTCCCAAGGTACTTCGCTGGTGCCCTGGTGACACATTCATTAATCCTTTATTGTCTGCACTTACACAGAGAGGTTGTGTCACTCCCCCTGGACACAGAGCCAGCAGGCAGCGGAGCTGGAATTTGAACCCAGCCTCCAGGGATGCTTTTCTGGGCTGTTTTCAAATTTGCTGGCCTGATCCTAGGTCCTGCCTCTATCAGGAGCTCATTCTGGTCACCTAGGAAACATGGCAAAGGGTGTTTCTGGGGCAGATGCTGATCAGAACCCTCACGACTCCTTCCTGAGGTGGAAGGAGCTCAGTATCCTGCACCCGGAAGCTGAGAGTTACAGGGCACTTGGGGGCAGTAGATGGCTATATCTCTGAGGCTCCGACCTGGTATGGAATTTCTGGGTCACACTGGCCTTTAAGGAACAGCCTGGGCCAGCTCAGCACCCTGCTAGGTCTTGGGAAACAGCCACTCAGTCCCTGTGGAGCCACCCAGGCCTGAGCTGTGCCACCAATCTAGCGCAGTCCCAGCAGCCCTGCTGTGGCGCAGGCCTCCTCATACCAAGCTGGGAAGCTTGTCTTCTGGCGTCTGTGGTCAGGACACCAGGCTGGGGTGGGTGAGACCGCAGGGCCCCACTCTTCTGTGTTTTCAGCCGGGAAGAATCTGGCTTCAGGCTCCTAAGTGTCCTTCACACCAGGCCTCTGACAGCTCCAGGTGTCCCCGTGCTGGGGAGGCACAGAGGGGGAGGCTCTCAGGACAGAGAGTGCTAGAGGGACTGGGAATTCCTCCCAGTGCTGATGGGGACCAGGGAGAGCCTGGTCCTGAGCCCTGTGTCCTCCCACCCTCCCCAGGGACCCTGGGTCTACCCAAGACGTGTCCCTGCCACCTGTCCCTGGCCACCCTCTGTCCATCCCTCAGGGTCTGCCTGCCCGATCCCGGCTGCTTCCACCTCTGGCACATCATTGCTCAGTGACCTCATCTGACCCTGCCCCACCCCCGATGTCCTCACCTAGGTCCTCTGCGCCCTAACTCCAGGCGGGGAGGCCCGGCCCTCGTCGTCACCCCTGTCTGGTCCCCAGTACTCAGTGATGGCTGCAGTGCCCCTGTATCAGGAGCAGGCTGCGAGGTGTAAGGCCACTGCCAGTGACACACGAGACGTGGATGTGTGCTGTGGTCTGCAGGTGCTGCTTTCCAGCGACGCGATGGCCCCGTGGAGCACTTTGTTTGCCAGCAGTGCCTGGAAGCCTCCGGGAGGTGACGCTCCAGGCCCGGAGCTGTGGCACCAGATTTGCCCTGCTCTGCACAGCCCTTGCCTTTGCAGCTTGCTGCCAGTGGGTGGTGCCATCACCACACCGCTGTGCTGTGCTGGGCTCCTGTGCTGTTCTTGTCTCCTGCTCCCTGAGCAGGGAGTTGGGAGGGGCACCTGCCAGGCAGGTTGGAGCTTAAGTGCCCGTTCTAGAAGTGCCCTGGGTGTGTGATTTCCTGCCTGGCTGAGACCGGCTGTCTGCATGATGATTGGGGCAGTGCAGTGGGAGAGACCCATGAGGAGATCCAGGTCCCCAGCCACGCTCCCGAGAAGCATGTTCTGGGTTTGGGACAGGCCCAGGGATGTACCATTGCCTGGGGATGGGGCTTTTGGGGTGGGGGTTGAGTTGTGCATAGGGTCCCAGGCGGTAGTGGGCAGCTGATGAGGAAGGTGTAGGGCACACACTAGAGCTCAAGCTGGCACCTGCTACCCCATGACCTGGGGCAGCTTGCCTCCTGCCTTGGCGCTTGTCAGAGGCTGTTGTGAGGATTTGCTGAGAAGGGTGCAGAGCAGGGCAGGCCTCACAGACCACCCCTGCCCACCTGCGCCATCCAGGGGCAGCCAGAAAGGACTCCATCCACGCCACCAGCATCTTGTGAGAGGTGATAGCTTCTGGCACACACTCATCACGTGCTGAACACTCCAGTGCAGGACCAAGGCCCACACTGTCACTACGCCTGTGTAATCTGACTGGCAAAGGTAAAAAATAAGTTGATTCTGCCAGGTATGGTGGCGCATGCCTGTAATCACAGCAGTCAGGGAGGCTGAGGCAAGAGAATCATAAGTTCAAGACTAGCCTGGACAACTTTGGGACTACGTGAGAGCCTGCCTCAAATTAAAAAGGGCTGGGTGTGTAGCAGGGTTCAGTCCCAGTCCTGCAGGATGACTTGTGGTCCAGAAGGGGCGCGGTTGCTGTTGAGAAGGACTTTGGGAACATGGATCGTGATAGTCATCCCTTGGACCTAGGGGTTGTCCCAAGCCCAGAGGTTGTTTTTGAAAAGAAATAGTGGAGGTTGACCAGATCTTTAATAAGAGGGCTCAGTTCTCTTCATTCATTAAAAGTAACTTGGCGGAGTGGTATCAGGGAAGGTCAGAGGAGGTCCTTCCGGTGCTGTCGTGGATGGTTGGTGTCCCTCCAGGATTCCCGTGTGAAATCCTGCCGCTCAGGATGACCTTCTGCAAGGCAGAGCTGTGGAGATGATCAGGGCAGGAGGGTGGAGCTCATGAAGGGGGGCAGTGCCTTGTGATGCAAGACTCCAGAGTCCCCCGGTTCCCCTGTAGGGGTAAAGGGAGAGAGTGGCTGGGCGGGGTGGGCTGGCTGTTTGCTGCACCTGGGAGCTACAGCGAGAGAGCTGAGGACATGTGTTAGCAGACACATGGCAATGGGTGGCTGGGGGACCAGGTGACTGCGACCACACCTGTTGCTGCCCTGTCGAAAGATAAAACCTAACGGATAAACGAATGATGGAAAATAGCACAGTCCCAGTAGGCGGGTTATTTTTCCCACATTGTGTGAGAAAGATCAGGATGTAGAAGTGCGTATTTAAGTTCAGCCCAGTGATATAACCTCAAAGTTCACTGCTAGGGAGCCTGAGTTCCATCCCCAGCACCACCCACACCAGCTGTGAACAAGGACCCAGGCAAGCCAGCAGATCAGCCATCAACACCGCATCCCCGGGACAGGCCTGCGAAGCTCTCAGCACAGCGCTGCTTCTCCCCTGCTCGGTCTCCTGCCCCTGCCCCTGCCCCTCCTTGTGTCTCTTCTGCTGTTAGGAGGCTGTGCGGACCTCAGCTCCAGCGCTGCTCCAGTGTAGCCATGGCTCTGGTCCTGTGCTTTGACACCTGGGACCCTGTTGTCAGCAACCTGCCTCGCTTTCACAGTGGGTGTCTGAGTCACTTTTGTGTAGCTGAGACATGATACCCAGTACCCACGATCTCAAGCGGGGAGGTTTGTGTTCACTCTCGGCTTTCAAGCATAGGCAGCTAGCTCCCAGGTAGAAACAGGATGGCAGAGGGTCCTGGCAGAGGAGTGGGTGTTCCCACCATGGGCACCAGGAAGCAGGGAGAGAAGGGAGGAGCCAGGACAAGATCCCGCCCAGGCTGTGGGGTGCCCATGTCCAGCCAGGCCCCCCTCCTACCGCACTGAACTCATTCACTCTGGACACATGCGGCTTTTGGGGGGCAGTGTAGATGTCACCTTAGTCAAGGTGGGCATCCACATCAGAGGCGGCTGCCCTGGGAGGGGCCTATCTGTCAGGGCTCGCTGAGCTCACGGTGACTCTGGTCCTGCAGGAACGTTGCGTGGCCGCCCTGGCCCGGGTCGAGCGTACTGACTTCCTGTCGCCCATGTGCATCGGCGAGGTAGCTCACGTCAGCGCGGAGATCACCTACACCTCGAAGCACTCTGTAGAAGTCCAGGTCAACGTGCTGTCTGAAAACATCCTCACAGGTAACTTCTGGGTGCTCCTCACCAAGCCGCCTGCCTCAGCCTGGCCGAGTGACAGCTGCCACAGTCAGGGTGATTGCGGCCACCAGGGTGGCAGTGCCAGGGCTGCCAGCTGCCTGGGGCGCGGTGGTGGGGCCTGGGGCTACCCGCCCTCTGCCCCCTACTGTCCCTGTTCTGTCCTTTCTGTGGCATAGAAAGCGTGTCCTCAGTGGGGCCTGCTGCCTGCCCCTGGGAGGGCCGTGTGGTAGGCATGGGTGGAGGCCAGCCCAGGCAGGAGCTGGCATGTGAACGTCTGCCCGGGTTGTGCCTCTACCTTCGCCTCTGCTGCTGTAGCCATGGAAACCCCTGCCTCCCCTCGGCACCATGGCAGAGCAGGGCTCCTTCGCGCACATGCTGGTGCTGCATTTTATAACCCGGCTGGAGCCGGGGCAGGCAGCCCGAGTGGCCGCTCTGGCCAGCTGACTGCCACCTGCTGCCCTGTGCGGAGCCAAGGTTTGGCTATTCCCTTTTGTTCCCAACCCTGGTCCTCAGCAGTGGTGGCTCAGCAGGCTGAGGGCTTGGGGCTGCCTAAGAGGGGCTCTAGCCTTCTTCCCCCGCAGGGCCCAAGGCACTGTGTCCTCTGGGGACATTTTGATGACCTTGACAGGGCTGGCAGTCAGGGAGCAGGTGCCCATCCAGCCAAGTGAGCCTGGTTTCCACAGGTTGTGGCGTCTCCTGAACCTGAGGTGCTGCTGGTTGAGGGCTGTGGCTCCAGAAGGGTCAGCTGTGTCCACACGGCAGGGCAGGTGGCCCCCTTGCGCCCTGGGGTGGCCCGAGCCTGCCTCTCTGAGCCGCATGTCTGTGGCCTTCCTGCAGCCTCAGCCTTTTTGCCGTGGAGTCCTGAGTCCCAGAGTCGGAGGGTGGGGAACACTGTCCCCTGCCCCATTCCAAAGCTGCCCCATGGGCCTTAGTCCACAGGAGCCGGAAAGGCAGCGCCACCCACCCTTCCGGGTGCACAGAGGCTGCCTCAGGCTTCCCAGTGGGTCGGACCCTACTTGCCCACGGTGAAATCCAAGCCTTGACCTCTCCCTCCTCCTGATGGCCTCTGTGGCCCAGTGGCTTGTGCACTAGCGGATGAGTGGGACTGGGGGTGTCTTCAAGGTCCCCACGCCCTGAAGCTGCTGTGGTGGCTCCTGCGTATGATCCCAGCGCTCAGGGAGGCTGAGACAGGAAGATCAAAGTTCAAGCCCAGCTTGAGTAACTTAGACCTTGTCTTGAAACAAATTTTAAAAACATTTAGCTAGCTGAGCTGGAAGACCCTGGGTCCACTCCTGCCTCCCCCTCAAAGGCTCCCTCACTGTTGGGGGTTAGAGAGGACGCTGGGCATGGCCCATCCAGTGGGTGAGGAAATGGGGTACGGAGGAGCCAGGGTTCAGCTTCTCCTCCCTCCGTCCCAAGCTGAGCCCCCAGCAGGCCCCTCTGCAGAGCTAGCTGAGAGGCCTGGGCTCCTGCCTCTTACTGTACAGTCTCGGCTTCCAGCTTCTCCTGGGCCTGTCCACGTGTTTGTCTTCGTAGCCTCTGTCCTCACCTCCGGCATGTGGTGTCCCCGTGCTGTCCTGTAGACCTGCCTCTGCCCTTGCGCTTCTCCATCTCCCCGGGGCTCCCCGGGAGGGGGAGTGGTGAGGCCCCCAGCACGGCTCTGAGCACACGCAGCACCCCTGAGACCTGAGGAACACATGCTGGGATCAAGGAAACAGGGATGGGGCAGGCTGGTGACACAGTTGTTGTGGCAGGTCCTTTCTCCCCGCAGGAGGCAGCGGCCCACCTGCATGGCCCGAGCAGATCGGTCACCAGGTAGCCAAGCCGGCACGGGGCAGGCGCCCAGGCAGAGCCAACTCTGGGCGGCCTACTCCTCCTGCTCGGCGACCTGTCCCCACGTTAGGCTGCTAACAGGAGGTGATGCTGCCGTGGCTGTGAGCGTCGCCGGGGGCTGCGGAGCTGCACGGCGCTGTCAGTGCCGCAGGTCTGGCGCTGGTGCTGTGAAGCGAACGTGCGGATGGCATGTTTGGCATCGCCTGCTCTGTGTGTTCATTTAGGTCTGGCGGGCCACTTGGGTTTCCATGGAAACCTGCTCGGCAGCCTGGCTCGAGCTGAGTCCAACAGGAAATCTTTATTCCCAAAAGCAAGCTGTCAGATTCACTCTGAGTCAAAGCGTGATGGAAATATTTTCCCATCGTGTCTGCCTGCTGTCCCCAGGGGCAGTGCTGACCTGCAGCCCAGGGAGGGGCGGAGGCAGGGGTGGCTCTAGGCCTGTCTTGGGTGGACACCCCCACCTGACTTGCATCCTAGGCCAGTGTCCAGCGGGAGCCTCAGGGAACCTCAGGGACACGTGGGTCCCTGCTAGGAGGGCAGGTTAGAGACACCTGGTGGGCAGCCACCTCCTTGGGGCTCGGAGAAGGCGCCCCCTGCTCCCTGCCCCCACTGCTGTCTGTTGTTTCCTACAGGGCATGAGTCTGCTCTCCAACAGGACTCTTCTGTTGCCACCTTTATAGCTTTCCCTGCAAATCCCCTGAAATGACTGGGTCCTGGGAGGCCTGGGTCTGTATTCAGAATAGCACTGAGTTACTGTGTGACCCAGGCAGACCCTTTGACCTCCCTGGGCTTCGCAAGTGTCAGTGAGTATGGACCAGTCAACTGCAGACCCAGAGGTACCCTAAGGGATCCACAGGCCACAGCCCAGCTCGGCACTGGGAGGTGTTGGTTTGAGCTTCAAGTGGGCCAGCGGAGGCAGAGCCAACATGGTGACACTGCCCAAGTCCCAGGGTCAGGTGTAGGGGTGAGGAGGCTCTACCAGAGCCCTGACGAGCTGGCGCAGGCCTCTCGCTGTCCCCTCCTCTCCACGTGCCGTCCACCCTTCTGGGTGTCCCCATCTGCCAGGAGTTCCTGGCAGTGTTGGACAGGTGGATGGGATTCTCAGGAAATGTGTGGGTGCTGATTTCCCAGCGGGTAGGGCTCAGGCGGGGACCCCAGGCTCAGCAGAGAAGCAGTCTCCACCCTTGCCTGTCCTATCGGGAGGCTCTTGGAGGCTTCTGGTGTTTTCTTCCTCTCTCTTCCTCTTCCGCCCGGCTGCCCACACATCTGCTTGCCTACCCTCCCCCCTCCCTTTCTTCTTTCCTTTATTTTCTTTCTTTCTTTCTTTCTTTCTTTCTTTCTTTCTTTCTTTCTTTTTTTTTTTTTTTTTTGAGCTAGAGTCTCACTATGTAGCTTAGGCTGGCCTTGCATGCAATCCACCTGCTCCAGCCTCCCAATGCTAGGATTACAGGGGGGTGCCACCTGGGCCAACGTCTAGCACGTTACTCTAACCAGACTCCCTTCCTGTCGAAGCACCAAGTGTGACCCCATGTTCAGAAACTGGCCAATCCAGGACCATTTGGGCTTCCCACTGCATCTGGACAGAGTAGACCAGGGTGGGGCCTGCACAGCCTGTCTCGATGGCTCGTGGGTCTCCAGGTCTGCATGCACGGTGGTGGAGAGCCTGGGCAAGGAATGTGGAGAGGACCTCAGTGCTGGGGAGCAGAGCATGGCCCTCAGGCTGCTGCTACTCACGTGGTTTTCTTCTCTAAGGTGCCAAAAAGCTGACCAACAAGGCTACCCTGTGGTATGTGCCCCTGTCACTGAAGAATGTGGACAAGGTCCTCGAGGTGCCTCCTGTTGTGGTAAGGCTGCCCTGCGTGGGACCTGGGGGCAGGAGTGACAGGGAGGTCTGTTCAATGGGGGGGCATCCCTGGGAGTACCATGCGGCTGGGAGGGTCACCCAGTTCTTTCTCGAGGGAACACGGTAGGGAGGAGACATCTGTGCCACTGACCTCACTCTGGGAATGTGCACGTCAGCTCTCTAGAACTATGGGCGGGCGTCATTGCGCCCTGGAGGACCTGTGTGTCACACTCCTGACCAGAGAGGAGGCGAGTGACAGGACCGGCATGGGTAACGTGTCCATCAGAGCTAGCACAGTGACACTGTTCAGACCAGGCCCGGAGAGTAGCAGCTGTGACACCTTAGGTCTAGGTGGCCTCGCTGCCACTCCCGCTTGGCCCTGCTGGTGTCACCACCACCTCTGGGTTCTGCTGGAGACAGAGCTGTGGGCAGATGTGGCAGGCAGATCTGTGGATACCACTTGTGCCCAGGCAGGCACACACCTAGAAATGGGGTTCACCCATTCACTGAGAGCCCTGGGCCTCTCTCTCATGCTCCTGGGTCTGTAGACTCGAGGGCTGCTGTGCCATTGTGGGTCCTGTGCTTGCTGCCCCTTGGGCATGCTGAGGGCTGCTCCCTGCCATGCAGGTGCTATAGGGCAGCCGCCTGCCCTTGCAGGTCCCAGCCGCTTGGCACCATGGCCTGCGTTCCTTTCCTGGTGTGCTGTCTTCCTCTCGCTGGGGTGGAGAGGTGCAGAGAACTCACTCTGTGGGCAACAGGCTGGGCTGTGTCCTCGCCTGCCTTCTCCTCGGTGGGGCTTCATGAGGTCTCTTGGGACACTGCGGGCAGAATCGAGGCCATCCCATCCCCATGACTTCATCTTACTCCGTCTGCAGAAAGCCTGTGTCCAGGACCATCCCGTTCTGAGGTTCTGAGTAGACCTCAGTTTTGGAGGATGCTGTGCTGTGCAATCCAGGGGAATGCACCTTGGTCTATACCCTCCCTGGCTCCCTGCCCTGTCCCTCATCCTCTGCAGCCTTGGCCGGGATGGCGATGGTATCGGTTTTCAAGCAGCAGTGCGGGGCCAGGCCCAGGACACCCCCCCCCCAGAAGCTCAGGAAGTGCCTGCCCTACTCCTGCCGTCCTGAGCCCCGGCTCAGGTCAGCCACGAGGCGTGGGCACAGTCACTTCCTGACCTGCCATCCCACCCATATGCCGTGGAATGTCGTCCTGGGACACTCCCGGGAGCCTTCACTGCCCCTGTGCAGCTCGGGGCCTGGCAGCAGAGTTTGTGGGTTACTGGCAGTGTTGAGGGATGTGGATTTGGGCTCCCTTGGCTTCTGTCCCCTTGCTGTGGGGACAGGACCTCAGCCCGCCCTCGCCCTTCCGCCTGCTTGCCCAGGGGTGCGGCGGGAGCCCCCATGGCTTGCTCCCACCCCCTGTCTCTGCATGTGAGAGTGACTCCGTCTTGGCTCCAGTTGGGCACATGTTGGGATGGGCCACCACGCCGAGAGGGCGTGTGGGGGGTCTGCACTGTCCCCCCACTGCAGGGGCCTCAGCAACGGGAAGATAGGGCATCCACAGGTGGCCACTGCGTATTCAGGAAATGTGTAACACGCACGTCTACACACGCACATGGCACACGTGTACGTTTGGGTGTCTTGAGCACACTGGACCTTGGATGTGTGCATGGCCCTGGAGGAAGCCTGGCTTTGCCCACGCAGGGCCCCTACAGGCAGGACTTCCTCAGCAGGGTCCCTCAGGGTTAGGTGCTCAGTGCCACCCTGTTGCTCCCCAGGTTGTGTCCAGATTCGCAAGTGCTATGGTGGCGCTGAGGGGCGCTCTGCACCTGTGGCGGGGTTTCCCCAAGTACCTGTGGAGCTAGCATGAGCGTGCGGGGCAAACTCTGCTGGGGCGGCCCTGTTTTCTGGATCCCTCCCCTCTAGGGATTGAACTCAAGGTGTTCACACCCAGCCCCTTCTATTTCTTTTTCTTTCTTTCTTTTTTTTTTTTTTTTTTTGGTCTTTTTTCTTTTTTATCGGTACCAGGGATCAAACTCACGACCACACACTTGCAAGGCAGGCGCTTATGCCGCTGAGCTAAATCCCCAGCCCTGCCCCTTCTATTTCTTACAAAATCACTAAGTTATTACCCAGGCTGGGTTCTAACTTGAGATCCTCCTGCCTCAGCCTCCCTGAGTGTGGGGTTACAGGAGTGCACCACCATGCCTGCCAAACAAAATGGAGTAACTTTTTTTTCCTGTTCATGGGGCTGTAAGTGGCACCCAGGCCTCACATAGGTGAGGCAGTCCCTCGGGCCGCACTACAGCCCAGACGTGTCCTCAGATGCCGCAGTTCAGCCGTCAGTTTGACGGGGGCCTCTCTGCCCATGTTCATTCCTCTGTTCATTCCTTGATGTTACAAGAACATCAAGATGTAGTTTATCTGTGTAAAAGGATTAAATTCTCTGTAGCTTCAGGGGCTCCCTCCAGCTGTTTTCTCGTAACTCTTGGGTCCCTCCCTGGCCTCCTTTGCCAAAGGATTCTCCAGCCAGAGGGGTGAGGGGACCAGTAAGCCCGCAGGGGTGCTGAGCCCCGAGGTGGCACACTGAGAGATTCAGAATGGCACATAAAGGGGGGGGGACAGAAATGAGGTGCAGCGCGTAAGCCTGCCAGCCTCTCGAGGTGAATGCAGTTACTATGTATTGTGAATGCCTACTAAGGAGGAAAAGAACAGAAGATTATCTAGTGAAACCGCCTCGGGCCCCCAGAGGGAGCAGGATGGACAAGGAGAGGCCGGCCCGGCAGTGCCTGGAGAGGAGCGTCGGCTGCGGCAGGAGCCAGGAAAGCGAGAGTGGCCATCAAGCCCTGCCCCTGCACAACCAGCCGATTCCCGCCGCATGTAAATCATGTCCCTGGGGAGCAGAGAACTCACCCTCTTCTGCAGGGCAGCACCTTTCTTCCATGGCATCGCAGCGACAGGCCGTCCTCTGCGGAGAGCGAGCCCGCGGCCAGAGGAGGCCGGCAGGGAGTTAGGAGAGAGGAGGAAAACTGTGCAGTAAATAAAGGTCTAGGGGACAGAAGGAGGTCTCAGAGTAACAGTGCTCAGGTCCTGTCCGAGAGGGAGGCGACACCTGTAGGTGTGTCTGCCAGGAACGGGAAAAGCAAATTGACATCTGTGCACTCCGATGAAGAAAGAGGCCTTGCGTGTTTTCAGTCAGCTTGGCAGAAATAAATAGAAAAATTACCAATCGGAATTACTCTCTGGTCCTCATCCAAAGAATCGGTGAATTCTCAGAGCACTTGACCTTCAGGCCCGTTCTGACTGCAGTGAGCAGGGCTGTGGATTGATCTGTGCTGATCACCTGGCCCGTGCCCACTTTCAGAGCAAAAGGTGTGTGCTGGACTGTTGTGAGATTTCTTGTTTACCAAGGAGTCTCATCAGTGTTTCGTGATGGAATGTAAGTGGGGTGCTCACAAAACCAAACCAGACCAAAGCCTGGGGGCCGGGGTGCAGCTCAAAAGCATAGCGCCTGCCTGGCAAGGTGAGGTCCTGAGTTTGAATCCTGGTGCCCCCTCCTCCAGAACGTTGGATGGACAGATGTTACAGTTGGGAAGGGGTCAGAATGGGGCTGCAAGTATGCAGATGAGGAAAACAAAATACTTGCTAGTTTTCAGGTTCGGCACCACCAGAGATGCAGTATTTTAAATACTACAGAAAGGTGATGTTTGTATGTATATGGCAGATTTTTATACTAGCAGGTTGCATATGTACGGTTGACTTACCCTTAGTAAATTAGTGATTGATATTTTATTGAATAGGAATTAAGAACATAATCTGTAAATTTGGCCTCAACTGGTTCTTTCCCTTGGCCATTTCTTGTGTGTGAGTTACAACTTTAGATAAACTTTCTAAACAGCCTGGAAGCTTGGGGCCTACATGAAGAAAAACATTTAAGGATATCATACTTCTGATGTAGAAGCCGGGTTTTATTGAATATGATTTATTTATTGGTTACAAACACTTTTCTCCTCTCAGAATGGTGCCCGTTAACCTAAACTCAGAATGTATTTATTATGTGCTAATATGTCTTACCCATTTTTAAGCAGTACTGTTTTATCTGAGTGGATGTTCCTTTATACATCCTAGTAATTATTTAAGTTGTCATTTAACCTCACTGAAAGAACAAAAATAAAGCTTAATATTGAAACAACAAGAAGAATCACAAAAACAACTCAGAGAGGAGGCCTGAGACCATCACCCAAGGAAAACTGCTCAGGCCCGGGGGCCCGGGCCTAAGTGAGAAGGCCAAGAGGAAAAGGTGACAGGCAGGGCCTGGCCAGTAGTCAGTGTGGGGACCGGTCACGGGAAAGGCTAGCTCTGGTGGTCTGGAGAGAGGACACCTAGGGGACGGTGCCTAAGGACCCGAGACCAGCCGTGGCTGGCACGCAGCCCCAGAGGGCCCCAGGTGGAGGACGGGGTGCGTGCTGTGTCCCCCACATGGGCCAGGGGACAATGGGCACGGGGTGGTGGGCAAACTGCCTTTTCTTCCCTCCGAGAAACCCAGCATTGCCCGTTGTGTGCAGGGCTGGGAAGGCTCGGTTTGTGGGACCAATTTTACCTTCGCGTTTATCCTGAGCTCCCTGGTGAAGCCCCAGTGCCCGTGGGCAGAGCCGTGGGCCGACTGAGCTCTTTGGGCGAGGTCCGCGGGGGCTGCCCTGAGATCTGCAGGTTTCTCTCCCGCAGGAAGGGCGCAGGCTCCAGCCAGGTAGTGGCTGAGGACCGGCAGTGTGGCTTAAAACTGGGGAGCACGCTGAAAGGCTGGAAGTGGTGGTCAGGTACAGGCGATGTCACCTCCGTGCAGTGACAGAACAATAATGAAAAGGCAGCAGCCGAGCCCGCAGGCCGGGTGACAGGCCGGGAGGCAGTTCTAGCGGGGACTGTGGTGCCCCACAGCTTCCCGGAGGACAGTTCAGTATCTTAGCTCCTGGGGTCAGCCTGCAGCCGTCTCGCTGCCCCGACAGGGGGCTGCCTGGGAGAAGAAAAGCTCTCCACCCAAGACAGCCAGGAAGGGCTCGGGGGACCCTCAGGCCAGGAGCTCAACTTTCAGGCCACGCGCCTGTGACCTTCCTCATCCCGGCCAGCCTCTTCCCTGCACGGCCAGCTCTGAGCTTATCCCCTGCGTCCACTGACCCCACAGTCCAGCCACCTCTCACACGTGGGCTCCACACTGTAGATCACAGCTATGGCAGGTCCGAACCCACATCCAGCTCAGCTCATCTCGGAGGGGCCCCAGCGTAAGAGTTTTGCCTGCCCTGTGTTCTGATTATTTATTAAATACGTCACCATTGCAAAAGCATGGGTTACAAGCTGGTGACGCAGGGCCCCTGCCCCCGGGAGCCATGCCGTCCCCGCCACGGGCCTGACCCACGTCTGGTTTCCCACAGTATTCCCGGCAGGAGCAGGAGGAGGAGGGCCGGAAGCGGTATGAAGCCCAGAAGCTAGAGCGCATGGAGACCAAGTGGAGGAACGGGGACATTGTGCAGCCTGTCCTGAACCCAGGTAGGTGCCGGGGGCTGTGGAGGGTGATTGTCACCCAAGGCGCCTGCCCTCTGGGTTCCCCACTCTGGTCCAGCCAGGCTGGCCTCTCCCAGCACCCCAGGTGACAGCCAGAAGGCAACACAGCACCTCGCTTGGAGTGCTGGAAGGGCACCTCTGCTGGGTCAGTGGGGCTTGGACATGCCTAGAGCTAAATGAGGAGCCTCTTTTTGTAGTACCAGGAGAACCAGGGCCTTACCATGCTACGCAAGCGCTCTGTGGCTAAGCCCCCCAGCCCCTTTCGTTTGATTTTGACAGGGGGTGTCTTGCTAATTTGCCCAGGAGGCCTTGAACTTGGGATCCTCCTGTCTCAGCCTCCACAGTAGCTGAGATTATAGGCCTGCACCCTTGTGGCTGGTGGGCAGCAGCTTTCTCGGTGCTGATTCCTCGCTGGCTCTGTCACACAGACCCCGGTTTTGAGCACGATCTCAGAAGTCAGCTGTGTATCAAGAGCCCAGTCAGGTGCAGGGCCCCGTGCAGGTGTAGGTCTTTGCCTTCCTGCATCTTTCTGTGGGATATCATGGAAGGGCCACGCAAACCCTAGATGAGGAGGTCCTGGGATGTTTTCCCTGCAGATGCATTTGGGGCAGCGTCTGAGGGTGCGAGTGTCCCAGTGACAACCCCGTGAGGTTTTGGGGACAGTGACCACCTGCTGCTGGCTTTCTGGTGCAGTGCCACCCCTTTCCATTGCCCACTTGGCGATCACATGGAAATGCTCTGTGCCCCCCACACACTGGGTGGCCTGGACTCCATGAAATGCCTGTGCGTCCTGCTCTGGGTTCCGCATGGCTGAGTCCCCCAGAACCCCATGCCTCATCCCTGGATGTGTGCTGTTTTGAGGATCTGACTGGGCTTTTGCCCAGTCCTGGCTGCACCTGGGCAGAGCTGGCTTGAGGCTGCCTCCAGAGCCCTTGCCTTGCCGTGGCCACATTCTGAGCACTGCCCTGACCTCTGCACATCCCATAGCCTGGTTGGGGGGTGCAGGCCAGCAGGCAGACAGGGAGTCAGTGATGTGAGAAGGAGGTGCCAGCTTGGTGCCAGCTAAGGGCCTGGTGTCCCCACGTGTCCCTGGAGGGAGACTAGCAGGGCAGATGGTGTCCCAGTCCTTGGCCCTGCAAATGGACCTCACGTGGGGGCCCCTGCAGATGTGACAGGGTCATGGACTTGGAGCTGCGGGGCTCTTGAGGATTACCCCAGGCCCTGCATTGCACTTGCTGGCCGGGCTCTGGCTCTGGGAGACAGGAGATTGGGGCGGGGAGACCTGCAGTCTTGCCCTGCACTGGCCATCTGAGAAATGAAAATTACTCAGCATTTTTAACCTTCTTAGATTCTTTTCCTCGTGAGATTCTCTTCTGTTCGCTATCTTCCGTTCGATTTTAAATCTGATACATAGTTCTCAGAACCGTTTTCCTTCAGCGGTCTAATCAGGACTGGTGCTTGAAATGGCAAGTCTCCCTGACGGGTTTCTTTGTGCTTTCTTTGCGCTGCTCTGTGTCCTCCTGGGCTCGTGGAAGAGAGGCGAGGTCTGGGTCTCAGGCCATCCAGTCTGAGTCTCGAGAACGCATGTGTGTCTGACTCCACTTTCCTGGTGGCCCTGGCTCCTGGGTGCCCGCCCTCTAGATGTGTCTGCCTGGACACGGTCATGTCTGTGGGAAGAGCACTGGAAGTCTCTCAAGTAGACATTGCACCCCCCTCTGTCCCAACCCCGCCTGTGCTCAGGCCTAAACCAGCTCCCCTCACTGTTGCCTAGCAACCTCCTGGGCCACCTTGGCGTCCAGGTGACTTCCAGAGCTGCTTTCCTTTGCTGTCTCCCTCTGATGGGAGGACAGTTGTCCAGAGCACTCATTCAAGGCCAGGGGCGGGGCCCTCACTTCTCATACCTGCTTCACCCCAGCCTGGGGCTGCAGTGACACCCACCTTGGAGCCTGCCCCCAGGGACCTCTGAGGAGGGCCATGTCCTCTGGGGTTTGGTCCTGGGTCTAAGGCGCTTTCTCAGTGTCTCTGGCCACCGCCCGGCCTGTGATTCTGGTGTCATAGCCCATCTGAGGGCAGATGTTCAGGAAGGGATGAAGGAAGTAAGGTCTTGGGGTTGGACAGCTTGGGTTTGCATCCCAGCTCTGCTGCCTCTGAGCACTGAACTGCCCTGTGCCTCAGTTTCCTTGATGGAAACGGAGAGGAAGAGCCGCTGAGATCACACAGGTGTTAAAACTGCCGTGCCATGTGGGGTGAGCACAGAATAAATAGCTCCTGTCACAGTCCATTCAGCATTTGCTAGCAAGGGTGGTGGAGCTGGAGACTTGGGCTCCTTCAGTCTTTGGGTCGGTGGGGTCATGGACAGGGAGCTCACAGGCACAGAGGCTAAGCCGTGCCAACGCCATGTTTGACAAGTAGCCGTGGGATCCCCTGGGAAGGGCACGCTGCAGGGGTTGCAGGCGCCTGAGTTTTGGGGAGTCAGGTCTTCAGCAGTGTATGGCTCTTCTGCTCCTGGGCAGGGGATGGAGGCACCACCACACCTGCTAGAAGGAGCCTGGGACTGTACCAGTTTCATGCGGAGGAAGGCGGGGCACAGGTTTGGCCATCAGATGGTTGGCTCTGCCTGGTCCTGCGCTCTGGTCACCATGTCAGCGCAAACCTTGTGCCCCTGTCACCAGTGTGTCCACATGGTGGCTGTCACCCTTGGGAAGAGGATGAAGGCCAGCTGCCCAGGAATGCATGGGCCACCCTTTCTGAGTCCTGTGGGTCTCTGGCCGAAGTCTTCAGACCATGGCTTTTCAGTACAGGAGAATTCAGTTCCACGTGACAGTGACCACATCCAGTTCCCTAGGGATGAAACGCTGAAACACCGCTGGGCCTTTCTGCGCTTTCCTCACACCCAGCTGGAGGCCTCTGGGTGGGAGTGGTCTCTCAGGCCAGGGCATTGCTGGTGGTGTCCTTTCTAACTTTCTAAGGAAAGGTTTTCATTGGGCAGCGTCTCACTTTCACTACTCCCGTGGCCCTAATGACTATCACAGAGCTGGGTTGCCGTGGGTCATAGGTGTCCCCAGCAAAACCTGTCATGTGCTCCCTTCAGGTCACCTTAGTGCAGTGAGCCTCGGTCCTGCTTCCTGGTCCTCAGGAAGTGCTTACTCCCCAGGGCTGGGAGCCCAGAAAAATGAACACAGCCAACCTGCTGAGCTCTCTGGGAGCTGGTTATGTCCAAGCGAAGGAGACTTTTGTCACAAATTCCAAGAGCATTAAACTCTGGGTGGCATCACCAGTATTTTTAAATAGTGTAGTACAGTGCAAACGTCTCTGACCAGAGAGCTGTAGGTTTCTGTCTGTAATCTTCAGTTAAGTCAGGCTGGGCAGGGAGGGTTTTGGGGATCAACCTGAGTGTTGTCCAGGGGCTAGGTCCACACTGTGTCACTGAGCTGCACCCCAAGTTTGCAGAACAAAACGAAGCATTCTTTTGTCATTGTCCACATGTGTGGCTGTTAGGTAACAGAGCAGGTCCTAGACTGAGCTGAACCAGTCCTATTCTAGAACATTCTTTTCCTGTCCTTCACGGGGGAACCCTGAGTGTGCCAGGGATGGCCAGGTAGCCTTGGTGTCTGGGCCAATGGCTTCTCAGGTTCAAGCCAGAGGGAGACATCCAGGAGGTTAGAGCTGCTGTGGGCCACGATGTTGGCTGGTGACGGTGCTTTGGTGACACAGGGACTTTTAGCAGAGCCTTGGGGGCTCCTGAGCTTCATCCTCCACTGCATCTCCCAGGCCACCAGCAAGCGAGGCCCTGGCAGCTGGGTCTCCCTTAGCAGCAGCAGTTAAAGTGATCAGTCTACTACCAGGGCAAATGACCCTGGGAGAGCCCGAGGGGCTGCAGGAGCCCGGGAGGTGGGGCCCTGGCCTTCTTAGGGCCTCGCTTCTCTTCCCGGAATCTCAGCCCTGGAGGCCTCTGGAGTGGCTGCAGAAGGATAACGTCTCTTCCTGGGGACAAAGCCGCAGGTCACCTGGGCTCACTTACCCCAGGGCTGCCCCAGAGTTGCCACCTAACCTAGGAGCTGTCCCTGGCAGTGGGTAAAGCAAGAAGGAAGGACTTGCAGAGCAGCTGACCATCACATGTGGTAGCCAGCGTGAGGTGGACTGTGGTCATTGGAGACTGAAGAGGGGAATGAGACCCTCTCCCAGGGCCGGGGCCGGGTCTGGTTTTGGATACACCAGAGCAGGGACTGAGTGTCTGTCTCTTCCTGTCCCAGAGCCAGAGCCTCAGTCACCCCAGCTTCCAGAGCGGATGTGCCTGGCTTGCAGGTGGATGTTTAAGGCCCGGCTAATCTGCACCCTGCTTTTCCTGCTTCTTGACACCTTCGGCAGCTGTGCCACTGTGGCAGCGGCGGTGTGCGAGGCTGTTTGGCTGGGGCCGAGCAGGAGCTCCCTGCCTCGCTACTGTGGGCGTCCTCATCTCCCGTCTCTGCTCATCTTCCTGTGTCACCGTGTCTCCTTAGAGAGACCCCAGCCGTGTCCAGTGAGGCCTCAGCCCAGGGGCCTCACTCTACGTTCATTCGTTACCTTGTTAGAGGCCCTGTGTCAGCGAACTCATCTGTAATCCTTGCTACTCAAGAGGCCGAGGAAGCAGGATCACAGGTTTGAGTCCAGGCTGAGCCACATGGGGGACTCTGTCCTGGGAAAAATTGAAGCAGAGGGATGATGGGGATGTGGCTCAGCATTCCCTGGTTTGAACCCCACATGAAGACCCCAAAAATGTGTATACAGTCACACCGAAGTACTAAGACCCGGGCCCCAGGAGTCGTGAAGTGACCTGAGTCAGCCATGGTGTGGAGGAGCCTGGGAGTCTCTGAAGTGATGTTAACCCCTGGGAGACCTCAAGCCATCCTCCCGCTCAGGCCGCCCTCCACCCCTCCAGCTCTCCCTCTGCATCGAGCTGGCCTGTCCAGGGACCTGGCACGACCGGGCCCCCTCGTGCAAGCAGGAGGTGGAGGAGGCCTGTGCCTGACCAGAAGGCTTGGGCCAGGGACCTGGGCACAGGGGGCCACGTGGATCCACCTCGAGCTGCTAGGCAAGGGGAGTGTGGAGTGTGATGCCCACCTCGGAGATAGGATATGGTTATGGATGTTTCCACAGCAGCATTGCTGGGCTGACCTCTGCCCGAGGGCCCTGAGCGTGTAGGAGAGCCCTGAGCCCGCAGAGGGGTGAGCCCTGGCCCCCTGGGCTGTGGTGGGGGATGGGGGAAGCAAAGGGACTTCAAGGAATACGGTGGGCACCTTTGCTAACCATGGAAGTGAGGGCTTGGCGCAGCCACTGGCACGCACAAGCTGGACCCTGTAGCTGGAAGCTGTCTTTGTGGGCACTGCTGTCCCCAGGGGGCGCTGGGACCCAGCACTGCTTGAGTCTCAGAGTGTGTCCCCTGGGCCAGCGCAGCCTGTCTGAGACCTCTGCTCTGTCTTGGTTGGTGGTAGTTGGCCACCTTGAGGGACACACAGATGTCGGTTCTTGGGCCATTGGCCATGCAGGGCTGCAGGACGCATCTCCCCACCCCCAGCCTCACCCTCTACTTTGCCGTTGCAGAGCCCAACACCGTGAGCTACAGCCAGTCAAGCCTGATCCACCTGGTGGGGCCCTCGGACTGCACCCTGCACGGCTTCGTGCACGGAGGTAAGGATGGATCGAAACAGCCACCACCCACGGGTCCCCAGAGGAAGTGGGGCAGCCGCGTGCGTGCCTGGTTTCAGCACTGGTGCTTAGTGAAGCGTGATTTAAATTCCAAAGATTGCACAGAAACCACTGAAATATGCTGGTGCCCGTTTTTAAAACTGGAATAACAGTGGGATGAGGCCTGGGTCCTCAGGGCGCGGGGGTTTCGGTGTGGCCCAGGGGGTGGGCGGGGCCTGACCAGGCACTGGCCGGAGTGGCTGTGTAGACCTGTTCTCCTTGCGTTTTCCTAATTTGACCGTGTTTCCTTGTTTGTCTGTGCCTCGTGCCCTTGCTCATTAGTGCGTGTTGGCACATTTGCCTTTTTCTTTTTTGAGTCTGTGCAGATGCCCCTCGAAGCACAGGCCTGGAGTCCCTGGGCCAGGGTTCCTGTTGTTCGGGAAGCCAGGCCCAGTTGCCAGGAGACCTGCTCTGGGTTCCAGAGGGGCACTTTCTGCCTTAATAGTGTGGGGTTCTTGCTTTAGGGCAAGCACCCCTAATGACCCTGTAACTTCCTGGGTGTCGTCATTTCGGTTGAGGGTAACGGGAACTTTAAAGCAGTTTGAAGAAAAATCAGGGAGAAAGGAAGTGGCGCAGGGGAACAGGAATAGCTGTCATGGGGGCATTGGGTCCTAAGGTTGACACAGCTGTCCTGTGTGCGTCAAGCGTTGTCCTGGCACAGCAGGCAGTTTTGTGCAATGCATTTGTCTGTGCTATCATTTCATGACACCTGGAACACCAGATTGCTTTCCTCTCTGCTCCGAGAGCTCCTATTGATGCTTCAAAATCCAACTCACACAGCACTACTCTACAGGTTTGCGTGGATGAACCAAGGGTTCTTCAGGAGCAGAGACTGACTTTATCTTTTCTGGGGCTCAAGCGCCTCCCACGGAGTCCCGGAGGCATTGGCAGATGAGGGGCACAGAGTGCTTTGGGCTTGAAGGATAACAAGCCCTTAGAAAATTCACCCGAATCTCAGAGGTCTTTTAAAAGCTTGTTTCCTTTTAAAGAATGATCATCCTTATTTTTCTTTGTTTCCTCATTTTCATGATCGTTTTTGTGTTTCCACGACACGCTTCAGTCTTATTAACTTGGGTGCTGGGGTAGGGTGGAGCCTTACCCTCACATGATGACAACTGTCTGCCCCGAGCGCCGTGGCCCTGTGTCCATCACCCCTCAGTTCCCAGGGTGGGGGGCAGCACCATCCTTCCAAGCCCGACAGGGCCTCCGTGACGGGAGGAGCTCGGCTTGGTCCCCCCATCTCCTGTTCTGCCTGGAGCTTGGAAAGCTGCATTGGGCATGCTTGTCTGTAGGTGGGAAGTTTTCCACTCAGGGTGGCACCTCCCGTGCAGCCTCCTGAGTGAAAAGCGCCCATTCTAAGCCCAGCATCCTCCTCGCTGTACTGAAGGGGGCCGTGGAGAGGCCAGCCCTGCACATCCTTGGAAAACACCTTTCTGCGCCCCAAGCTGCTTCCTGATACAGGCTCCTAAAGGTGCTTTTGAGACTGCATCGCTAAGTTGCCCCAGGCCGGACTCAAACTTGTGATCTTGTCTCAGCCTCCAGAGTAGCTGGGTTACAGGCATCAACCACCCTGCCCGCCTCAGGCACTGTTTAAAATGTGTGTTAGTTGGCAGTGCCTTTGTGATACTTGACACCTGCTGTCATAGGTGTCCTGTGTGCACGATTTGTAACAACCCGCCTACTAATTGTACTAAATCTAATTGTCTCTCTGTGCCTGTAACCCAGCAGGAGCCAAATAAAATACAGAAAGTGTTAGAGTGCAGGAGGCACAACTCCACCGTCTTCTCCCGTGGAGTACGGCTGGGTTGGCAGAGGGCGGCGGCGGGAGTTGCTGGGGTGGAAGCCTGACTAAGCCGGAGTTAGCAGGTGCTGGCTGCTCAGGGGCCTGCCATGGGCCCTAAGGAGCCCTCGCCCACACGGCCATGCTGCGTGGCTTGGAGCGGCTCCTGTGTCCCAATCTGTACACATTGGCCAGCCATGGTCACAGTGGTGGCGGACTCACGGGAGGGGTGACGAGAGGGAGGGGCCACTGGTTGGCAAGTCCAGGGAGATGCCAGTGTCTGCCTGATGTGACCCCTTCCCCGGGTCATGGACATAACCTCCTCCCTCCAGTACTGAGTGGAGGGGCATCATATGGGGCCCAGCTGACTGTGTCACTGTCCCTGTGTCCTAAGTGGTTGGATCATGAGTGCACTGTGCTCACCAGCGGCTTCATCCAAGGATGGGTTCAGAGCTGAACATGCCCGTAGGAAGCGAGGCTTGGGTGGAGGGTGGTCTCTGGGGTGGGACCTGGAGGAGCGTCCTCATCCCTGGCTCCTCCCTTCTCTGTCTGCTTCCCTGCCACCATCGCATCGGGTGAGTGCTTTCCTGCTGCTTCTGCCTTGGAGCAGGCTGGCCACAGACCGAACCCATGAAACTAGGAGGCAAAATAGTAAATTGCAGGTGCTGGATATTTTGTTCCAACCACAGGAAAATGACTAACACACCACTGGAAAGGGCTGTGTGTGTGGTGGTCCTGGGGACTGAACCCGGGGAGTCCTGTTAGTTTTTATTTTAATCTTTTTTCTTTTCTTTTTTTTTTTTTTTTTTGTCTTTTTCATTTTTATCGGTACCGGGGATCGAACTCACGACCGCCTGCTTGCAAGGCAGGTACTTATGCCGCTGAGCTAAATCCCCAGCCCCTGTTAGATTTTATTTTGAGACAATCTTGCTGAGTAGCCCAGGTGAGCCTGAGCTTGTGATCCTCCTGCCCCAGCCTCTAGAGTAGCTGGGCATTTGTGCACACCACACCTGGCTCAGAATGGCTATTGACAGAACAGAACTGAGCTCTCTCTGGTCCTCTCTCCCTCCTGCCCTCACTTCCTGCCACATGGCAGCTGCTGTAGCAGGTGGCTCAGTGTCCTGTGAGGCTTCTGCTGGCTTCTGGTGCGCAACGGGGAAGGAGAGGAAGAGCACTGTGGTTACTTTTGTGGGTGATGTGGTCATGGTGGTGCTCAGCATGCTGGGTCCCCACTGCTGTGAGCACCCTGGGAGTCCCCCGTACGGCCTGTACCCCTGTGAATTACTCTGCGTGCAGCTGAGCCTGCCCACTGGTATCCACACCAGCTCTCCTGGATCGTCCACTCTCTATCCTCTTCCTCCTGCAAACTGGACGACTCATTCCCCACCTGCTGTGGGCTGCCCTCCTGGGCGTGTTTGCCTTGCGTCTGGTCTGGCTCCGCACCTCTGTTTTCCTGGGCTGCTTTGGTGGTCACGTCCTTGGCGGCTTCTTACCAAAGGTCATGCGTCTGCTAGGATTGGCTCAGGGGAGAGGCTTCCTGCTGAGGTCAGGCAAAGCGGTGCTGATGTTCCCATAGGAAAAGTGGGTAGCTTTGAGATGGTGTTACTTAAAAAGGAAAATTAAAAATACTGAACTGTCGGAGCCGGGGAACTGTAACGGATTCCTCCTCCAGGAAGGAGGAGGTAGGAGGGCTGGGAGCTGCCTTTGCGTCTCTGTCTGACAGCCCCAGGTCCCGGCACCCCTACTGTGGCCCCCAGACACACCTTTACGGTTCAGAGCTGAGCAGTGCACTGGGCCCGCTGTCCGGTGCCGTGCGGGCCCCATGCCGTCTTCTGTCCATGTCCTCGCCCACCTCCTAGACAGGGGCGCCTGCCATGGGGGTCTCTCCTTCCCAAAGACACACGTCTCCAGGTGGCCCAGGGAGAGCAGCAGGAGTCAGCCTCTGTCCTCCTCGGGTCCAGCGGGGGCCCTGTGGTGTCCCTGCCGTGGCTCTGTCCCTCTCCCCATCTGCAGGTACCTCAAGTGCCACCCTCTTGACACTTCAGGGTCTTCCTGTCATTGCCAGGCCAGCCTGCAGTCCCTGTGCTGGTCTCTCACTACTGGTCATGCACCCAAGGGACTTGTCTGTACTGAGGAGACGGACCCCACCTCTGTCCCTGAACCACTGTGTGGGGACCGTGCACAAGCCCTGGCAGCAAAACCTGCTCCTGAGGAACTTGCGGACTGGGTGCCCAGAGGCAAACTGACCAACACCCCGGCCTGGCATCGCAGTCCTAGTCATGGGCTGTGGGTGATGCTGGGTGAGAGCTGCTTTGCTCTGGCTTCTCTCTCTGCAAGTCTTGGCTCCTCACTGTGTTGCTGTTGGCTCCTGGGGCTCCAGAGCCTGCAGGGCTCAGGGTACGACCGTGCCACACCCTTCCTGGCTGGATGTGGGGCTCAGCTCTCCTGCCCAACACCCTCCTGGCACCTCTCAGAAACTCATGGTTTAGGGCTCACACGGAGGTCTCATCTTGGCAGGGCTCCTGGCCAGCGCATTCTTCTTCCCCCGCAGGGCAGAGCCCCGTTTCTGGAAGGTCAGAGCATACACACGAGACCCAGGCCAGCAGTGTGGTATGAACACATCCTGCCCTCAGTGCCCTGTGTCCCAGCCTTTGCCCACTGCTTGGCATCCCGCTGGTTGTGGTGACCGCGGCCGATGTCCTCTGACCACATCCATCCTGTCCAGTGACTTATGCTGGAACAGTGGCCTCCCGGATGGCTGCTGGCGCCCTTCCTGCACAGTTCCCGGCTTCGCTGTTGTGGACTTGGAGCTGTGGCCTCCACTTCCCCTGGTCCAGCCTCCCCAGGGCCTGGCGTGTGCTCAGCCTTCGCTGCTGAGGCCTCTGCTCAGTTCTCAGGGGAGCCAGGCAGCGAATGGGCCACTTGCTGTTGATACTTCTCGGCGGCAGCCAGGTGTCTCTTTGACCAGAGCTCCGATGAGAGTGGCCCAAAGGGGAGGAATACATCAGGGCCAGCAGCCCCAGGGCTTGGCCAGCATCCCACTTTGATTATTTTACTATCTTTGGGCACACATCCTCCTTCTTATTCTGTGCATTAATTGCCAAAAGTAATCCTTGCCTGTGGTGTTCATTAAGGTTCCCACTCCAGGAAGCCCTGGGCCAAG